CCTGGCAGCCCCCAGCAGGTCTCCCCAGCTGGAGCCTTCTCCTCTGGGGCTGCCCCAGCCCAACTCTCTCCTGCTGGGCTCCCAGCAGAGGGGTTCCCCCCTCGGGGAATTGCTGGGGCTCCTCTGGCCCTGCTCCAACAAAGCCCAGCTCTGTCTTCTGCCTGGCTCTGTTGTGGCCCTTACCTTGCACTGAGTTTGATCACCAGCATTGAACAGCTCCTGGGGGCTCCAGCCCCACCAGACACACAGAAGGAACAAGACTCATTTAAGGAAGGGACCAACTTTGCATGTTTGTTTTTCCTCTCATTAAATACTTCCCCCTACCCCTCAACAACACTTCAGGTGATAGCCCATGAGACCTCCCTTCCATTCCTCAAGGAAACCAGGATCATAGAAGTGGTCTGGTCTAGAAAAGACCTTCAAGATCAAAGTCCAACCATCCCCCAGCACTGCCAGGTCCCCACTGCCCCGTGTCCCTCACACCACATCTCCACGGCTTGGAAACCCCTCCAGGGGTGGGGACTCCACCACTGCCCTGGGCAGCCTGGCACAGCCCTGGGCAACCCTCCAGGGCAAGAAATTGTTCCTCAGGGACAACCTCAACCTCCCCTGGGGCAACTTGAGGCCCTTTCCTCTTGTCCTGTCCCTTGGGAGCAGAGCCCGCCCCCCCCCTGGCTCCAGGCTCCTGTCAGGAGCTGTGCAGAGCCAGAAGGTCTCCCCTGAGCCTCCTTTGCTCCAGGCTCAGCCCCCCCAGCTCCCTCAGCTGCTCCTCCCCACACTTGGGCTCTAGACCCTTCCCCAGCAGCTCCGTTGCCCTTCTCTGGCCACGCTCCAGCCCCTCAAGGTCCTGCTGGAAGTGAGAACCCAAAAACAGACCCCAGACATGCTCTGGCACAGCAGCTCCACCATCTCCAGCCTTCTCTTGCTGCTACAGATCCAGCTCTGTGTGGAGGACGGACCAGGGAGGGCAGGAGGAGAGAAGATCATTCATTTATTTGAAGCCAGTACAAAAATACATAGGCACATAAAATACTTTTTTTTTTTTTTGCTGTCATCCTCAGTGACTGACACCCAAAATCTGCCACACATTCAAACCACCAGCTCACCCTTTTGATCACTAAAATGCTCATTTTGGAAATAAAATCCTTTATAGAAAAGATTTTAGTCAGCTACTAGCATAGAAAATACTGTTGTAGGAGCTCTTTTGCCTGCCCTGGTGTGCACGATCCCATCCAGATTTAACACCAGGGATGGGATTTTGGAGCCAGGAGACTCCCCCCCCACACTGTTCCCAGCACAGAAATCCTCACTCATGTATAAAAACTTCACTTTAAAACCCCTCCCATAAATGCAGCTTGGCCAAATGGCAGCTAAAATTTTAGCAAATATCTTCCAGAAACAAATTCTATTGTCTGTAGAAGCCGTTTTCCTGGTTATCAAAGGAATGAGTATAAAAAAAACCTGTCATAAATACCTAGTTTTACCCAAATTGGTTTTAAACCAAACTTATAAATTCTTTTTGAAGCCAAAAGACAATCCAAGGAGAGGAAGAAGTGCTCTGAGAAAAAGCTTTAAAAAAAAATTGAGTTAACTCTGCCTGACGTATTAAAAATCCTGTTCTTTTAACAGGGCACAAACTGAAGACTTACTACATCCAAAAAACCTCAAACTTTGGGCCAGGGCTTGGCCAAAGTGGAGGTGCTGGTCCTGCAGGGGCAAGAGCCTTTGTTCCCCAGCCCATTTCTCCAGGCTGGAGAAGGAGGTGGGAGGACATCAGGTCTCCTGCAGAGCCCACAGCTACTCCCCCCGTTGAGGTCTGAGGGGTCCCTGTGCCAGAGCAGG